AGCATGAATAAAAGAGATGACACCTCCCGCTTACCAGCCATTTGGAAACCCGCCCTCATGAACAGACGAGTACCTAACATGATGAATGACACCAGACCCACACCCACGAGGGCCACACAAGATGCCACCACCACACTTCCACGTAAAAAGCAGACTCACACCCACACAGAAGATGAGACACGACCACAGACCAGAAGCCGCACTGCAGCTGCATCACTACCCACTTCAAACCCCTCTGAGCCATACATGAAGCGAACTGACCCCCACCATGAAGATGCAGCACGACCACGAACTCGAAGCCAAACAGCAAGATCACAGCTCACCGGCTCGAATCCCCCAGTAACTAAGACCAACCTGAGCACAACCAAGCCCCCACCAGAACAGAACACACCTCCAGCCAATCAGAACATGGCCAACCCCCCAACCAATCAGAACACAGCCAAACCCCCAACCAATGAGAACACACCCCCACCCAATCAGAACACAGCCAAGCCCCCACCCAATCAAGTCACACCCCCACTAGCAGTTAAAAGGAAGAAGCAGCTGCAAGCTCACATCACTCTGAGAAGCACAGAGCTGAAGACAGAAGCCTGAAGATGATGAATGAGACTTCATCGAAACGTTGCCTAGATACTTCCAATCTTACGCGGGAGAAAACCCGAATAACCAAAGATCCATATATATATATATGTATGTATGTATGTATGTATGTATATATGTATATGTATATGTATATGTATATGTATATGTATATGTATATGTATATGTATGTATGTATGTATATATGTATATATGTATATATGTATATATGTATATATGTATATGTATATGTATATATATATGCAGTACTTCTGTTTTTATGTTCGTTTAACAAAGAATTAGATTCCTGGAGAATAAGGCTATTAATGGGCAACGCTCCATGCCAATTCTCTGGTCACCCATGTACACCAAAACCACCAGTAAATTTGCAGATGTCTTTATGTTTTCTTTATGTCCATGCTCCTTACCCACAACAGATAAAGCATCTGAAATACCTGCTCAAACTTTCACATAAGCCCACCAGCCAAAATGACTGAAGATCCTTCGGCTGCCCTACGGATTATCCATGGGTAGTACAATCAGTGGTGGGATTCAAATTTTTTTACCACCAGTTCTGTGTGGCTTGGTGGGTGTGCTTTGTGCACATGTGCATGCTTTGCACGCATGTGGAGGATTTGCTACTGACCTTCTGCAATCCTACACTCTCCCTGTGTCTTCAACAGCTGACACGCGGCAATCCGTTGTGCCATGCGAAGCAGCTGAGCTTCAAAAGCAGGAAATAAAGGTCAGAATAGAGCCCGGGTGTGTGGGTGGGCCCAGCAGCTGATCATTGGAGCAAAGCAGTTTGCTCACAGATGATCCTCGGAGCTACCGGTTCGAACCGGTCTGAACCAGTAGAATCCCACCACAACATTTCAGCTTCCAAGAGCCTTTGAGCCAGTCACTTGTTTTGAGCCCAGCCGACCTCAGTTACTGGGCAAGAAAAATTAAGAAGATCTCCCCTGTGCTTCCCTTCAGCTCCCAAAGATAGAATATAAATAATAATAACCACAGTAATAATAATCCACAGTAAATTGATCCATTCCCAACTACCTTTATCCTAGCAAATCAAATAGTAGATACTCAAGTCTCTGAGATATACAAGGAAATTAATTATGAAGTGTGTACTCATTCTCTTCCTCTCTTTCTGTCTTTTACCCACAAATATAAACTAGACAAAGTTCTACAGAGAGATTAGGAAATCTAAAAAATGGAATCCATGACATTAAGAGGCACAGGTAAAAAAAAATTATTCATTTGTTTGCTTGTTTGCTTATACGTTGATTTGTTTGTTTATTAAATTTATTGGCTGCCCATCCTACCACAGGGTAAAGATTTAAAGATTTGCGTAGTAATCGATGAAGAGTTTGATTGTACATAAGATTTCTTGTTTTACAGCTGCCATTGCTTTTAATGCTTTAAGATAAACAGTGAGTAACTGCAGCCCTCCGGCCAAATTAACAGTCAGAGTAATTTCATGTACAGTATATCTTAGCCTCAGTTCAGATCCCAAATGCAGGAGACCAGTGAAGACCACTGGCTAGAGCCCAATGTCCCTTTATTGAAGTCCGTCCCATGCTTTCAACAAAGAGAAGATCATTGTCAAGAGCAGGAAGAAGAGATATCAGAGCAGAAAGCTGCCCTCACTCACTTTTTGGCTCAGGACCCCAACTACTTCTTTGACCTGGGCATGACAAATAGTCCTCAAGAGATAAGCTGTGGGAATGATGCTCTCCGTAACTGCAAAAAGGTTAAACGTACCCTGGCATTAACAGAAAGGAAGGTAACCCAAAACTCTGGTATTGTAGTGGTATGTGAGAATGGCCTTGAAGATAGGAGGAAGAGCTACATACAGGACAACGGACATTTAAAAGATTTCTCAGCCAACAGAAGGAGGAAGAGCGTAGGAAACATTCCAGAAAGGACCCTCCATACTTTTCAGAGAGCAAAAGGAGATATGTACAGGTAGTTCTTGACTTACAACCAACCTTTTGTTAAGTGGCCATTCGATATTACAATGACACTGGAAAAAAGTGACTTGACCATTTTTCACACTTTGTGGCATCCCCATGGTCTATATCAAAATCCAGATGCTTGGCAACTGGCTCATATTTATGACCGTTGTAGTGTCCCGGGGTCATGTGATCACCTTTCGTGGACCTTCTGAGAAGCAAACTCAATGGGGAAGCCAGATTTCACTTAACAGACATGTTACTAACTTCACAATTCACTTAACAACGGGGGCAACAAAGATCGCGAAATGGTGCGAAATTCACTTTATCAGTAGTCTTACTTAGCAACAGAAATTTGCCGCTCTATTGCAGTCATAAGTTGAGGACTACCTATACCTTGGATTTTGGAAGATTCTGTTAATGTAGCCTTAGAATAAAGTAGACTCAGCTCATCAAGTCATGTTTCCTCTCAGGACTAGCTGGAAAAGCTGATATCAATCTTGCCAGATTGAAGGTGCAAATCTCCCATATCCCTTTTATCTCCTGATAAAAAGAGTTCCTTTCTCCACCCGGTGTGCAGCTTCAGGCTCCACCGCCTCTTATCTAATCAATCCCTAGATAGGAGCCCTTCCCCTGTTTCTCACAATCATTCCCGTGTACCATTGTAGCAGTCCACTGATAGAAGATGCAGGGCCCTTGTGACAGGACACAACACTGCAGCCCTTGAACAGAAAAAAATATTCTCCAATATCCATCCCTGCTTTAAGAGTGAGATGCAGCGGCAGCTTTCTTGGGGACTATAATTATGAAACCAGTTAAATAACCATCTTGCTGTTGTAACTTTCCATTCTAGGTGGCTGAATGGTTTTAATTGGGAAGGACTCAAAGCAATGAAGTTATCATCACCCCTTAAAAGAGAGGTACCTCAACCAGTCCCTTTTAAATTAATGCATGCGCAAGCCAGTGTCTTATTTTTTTTATTCCTGGAGTTCCCCTTTAAAATGTGTGTTATGAAGATGCCACCGGGGGGTCCTGTTCCCATCACACTAATTTGGGACAAAGGGATGGAGTCAGTGTATTATGGACACCTCCAAAAGGAGATGATTGGTTCAATTCACCGCTTATGATTCCAATAGACCTAATTATGGCAAAGCTAAAAGAACACAACCTCATCAGCTATGTTGTAGGGGGCCTCTATACAAATTAATTTTGTTTTGACCGTCCTCCAAGAAAAAGAGCTGGAGAGGAAGAATGGCCAGAAGAGGAAGCCTCTCTGTTACAGATCTCACTGGCAAGGCCTGGCATTTCCAAACACTGATTGCTGTGGCGCTCAATCCATACCCACGGTTGCCTAGTTAACCAATTGGAGAGAAGCTTGTAATGGAATGAAGCCTTGCCAAGACCTTATCATGCAAAGCCTGATGGGATACCAGGCAGAAAAGGGAGAACATGGATCCAAAGGAAGGGCTGGCCGTGGGCTTTAATGGGATTGTCGCGTGTTAAGCCCAACATAGGGCCGAACACAATCTGTGTTGTAGGCTAGATCTGATGGAGTCCGGTAGCAAATTATCTCTTTTAAGGTTTTGTTCAAGTATGCTTAAAGGGGACGCGATGGCTCAGTGGTTAAAGGCGCTAAACTTGTCAGCTGGAAAGCAGACAGGCCAGGTTCGCGACCCAAGTACTGTGTGATGGGGCGAGTTCCAGTTACTTGCTCCAGCTCCTACCCACTTAGAAATTCAAAAGCAGGCAAATTCAAATAGATAAACAGGTACCACTTCAGTGGGAAGGTAACTCTCCTGGGCACCTTTGGCATATAACCACGCTGGCCACACGACCACGGAAAAAACACTTTCTGACAGCGCTGGCTCCCTCGGCCAAGAAACGGAGATGAACACCCTAGAGTTGTGATGGTGAACCTATGGCACATGTGCCAGAGGTGGTGTCAGCTTTGGAAGTCATTTTGAGACTCGATGCTACCATGTTATTGATTGGAATGAAGGTTTGCTGGAACCCTGACAGATGGCACGCAAAGCCCTCTCTGTGGGCATGTGAGCCATCGCCCCAGCTCAGCTCTGCTGCGCATGCGCACACTCACCTCCCATCAGCCAGCTGGTCTTCAGGTCTCTGCTGCGCATGCGGGGTGTGTGTGCAAGGTGCATGCCGGGGGGGGCGTGTGTGTGGATGTTGTGCGCGCATGCACAGGGTGGGTGGATCACATGTGCTGCTGATGTGTGCCCATGCGTGGGTGTGGGGGCGTGCACAGATGATGCGCATGCATGCACGGGGACAGGGTTCATGCGCAGGGATGTGCACATGCACAGGGGGTGGGGCGCATGCACGGGGGGGCAGGGGACATGCGCGCATTGGGCACTCGGTGCTGAACAGGTTAGCCATCACCTCCCTAGAGTTAGACACAACTGGACAGGGAAGCTTTTAGTCTTTATGTCAGACTTCCAGCAATCCTTCGTTTGAAACATTAACTCCGAGACTGACATATTCTCAAAGTGATTTATTCAAAACAAAACAAAAAACCCCCCCACTGGTATTGTCCGGTGGAATTTCAGTACTGGAATCCTACCAGCTCATCCCACAAAATTCCACCTACCTCCACCCCCTTTTTCACACCTCATCAACCACATGAGCCAATGATCTGCATTCTCAATTCTTACTGCGCCACTCTCGGTGACCTTGAACTAATAACCCATAATAATTTTTTTCCCCCTAAGAACTATTCAATACATCACTTCCTCCCTCCAGAACTCTATGGCAATGATGAATCCCAGACTTCCCCTATGTTCATACTGTAACTCTTTTATAGCTTTCAGGTCCTATGGACTACAGCCACTTCGACCGATACCCACCGGAACAGGGAATTCCACCCGATGAACTTTCAGGCTGGGATAAAGATTTCTAAGAAGGCGGCTAGTGGTGTAATTGTCCTCACTCACAGGTTGTCTGCGGTGATTGTACACGTACTTGTTCAGAGCATAGCCGAGATGCATTGAAATTGCATTTAAAATTCAAAGGCCCACGGATCACTCTCTAATCTCCTCTGTAAATTCCCAACACGAAGTGTTGCGTTGTGAAGCTATGCCTTCCGAGCAGCAGAACGGAAGGTGCCGGTGGGCAGCAGCTTAACGCCCTGCTAAATTACAATCTAAATTCCACATTCATCTCCTTTGGAAGTGTGTGTGTGGCCCATTTATTACATCAGCATCTATGCTGTGATGCGCTTTGCATAAAATGCCACAGTGAGCGACCTTGGATCAGAGATGAGAAACGTAGGAATGTGAGGGGAATTCTGGAAAGAGAGTAGCATTTAAAGAGCTTTGTGAAGGTCTCTATGCCAGTTTTCTGTCCTCTTCCCAGATAAATGAAACCCGCTCTTAACAGTGAATGACTCCTGAAAACTAAAATGTGCCTCTAAAATCTTTTCCCTTCAGAAAAATGTTAAAATTAAGGTGTGTTGTTCTTACAAAAACACAGGTGTAAAAATGCAGAAAAGAAAAATATGTCAATGTCAAAAAAGGAAAGTAATAGTAAAAACTAGATGTACAGTACATGCATAGACATCCACCTGTATTTGACTTATTTTCCATATATGAAGTTTGTGTACCTCCTACAGACACACACACAAGCTTTCACATGTTCACAGAAAAGTTCTATTTCTATTATTTCTATTCTAGTTTCTACAGTGTTTCTATTATTTCAGGGAGGAATGAATCAATGCAGTTCTACAAAGCATTTGATGACCCATTAGACTTTTGTGAAGAAATTCCATTGTTACCGAACAATTATGTCCATAAGTAGTCATTTCTATATGTTTTGCTTAATTCTGTAAAGATATGAGGTCATGTTTTTTTGACATAATGTTTAAAAATGGAGTAGGTATGCATTGTAATAGAATTATGTTTTTAAAAAGATAGACTTTGGGGGAACCCTTTGCTAAGTCCCCCTGAGTGAGAATCTTTTCTGAACTCCATAGTATTTTTTAAATCTTTTCTTAATCCTCGCTTCCTTTTTTCTAGACCTGCCGATGTCTGATCTCCCAACTGCATGTATCTAAATAGGGCCATGCACAGGCTATATCCGTGATGGTGAACCTATGGCAGACGTGCCACAGGTGGCACACAGAGCCATTTGTACAGGCACGCGAGCCCCAGTCAAAATTACCTGCACTGCACATGTGTGCACCTCCCAGCTGATTTTCGGCCCATTTGAGGCCATTTTTTCCCTCCCGGGGGCAGGAGGGAAGCCTCTGCAGCCTTTGGAGGCCAAAAAACAGGCCTTCCGGAAATATCGGAAGTGCCGAAACTGGAAGTGCCAAAATGGGCCCATTTTTCAGCATCCAAAGGCTGCAGAGGCTTCCCTCGAGCCCCCGGGAGGGTGAAATTATGGTCTCAAACAGGTCAAAAATCAGCTAGGAGGTATGCGCAGCGTATGCGCAGGGCAGGTTGGGTGGGTTGCACATGCAGGCACAGGGGAGGCGGGACACATTGCATTGTGGGTGCTGGCACACGCATGCACGCTTTTGCACATGTACATGCTTGCGGCATACCACAACAAAATCACTGGGCTACATGGTAAAAAAAAGTCAAGATGTATTGGATATATCAGTGCAGTCCAAGCTCCACCTGCTTTTTATGTGAATCACAAAAGCCACACACATTGCAAAGAGGCAGAAGGTTAATTGCCCTGTTATCAGGGGTGGGATTCTACCGGTTGGACTGGTTCGGACGAAGCGTACGCTCACCAAAACGGGTTGAATCCCACTACTGCCTGTTATGTCCAGCATTTTGACGATTTTGACCATAACCTGAAGACCATACCCCTATAGCTGCTTTCCTTGATAATGATGAGAATGCATTATCTTAATGGCCCACTGTGATCTCTCTTTCCAGAGATTTAAGTATATTTTTTGGGGATGGTTTATAGGTAACTCCCTCCCACAATGGAACAAGACTCAGATTATTTGGAATTCAAGCACAATGGCCACCTTAGAGGCTATTTATAAAAACAGAGGTCCCGTTTGTGTTTTATTTTGGGGGAAAAAGTTCAGTCTTCCAGTTTTAGAATAAATAAACTGATCAGAATGGGTAATCCAGGATTTTATTTTGTGGTAGAGCAGTGGCTTGAATGTAGGACTTACAGCCAGGATCATTGGACGGATCATGAGTCTGCATCCAAGCAATTAGCATAAGATAGTTGTCATATAAGGGATTCATCAGGATTCTAGACCAAACCTTTGTGAAACCCTCTACATCAAGGGTGTCAAACTCGATTTCATTGAGGGCCGCATCAGGGTTGTGTTTGACCTCGGAGAGGCGTGGGGGCATGGCAAGGGGAGCGTGGCCAGCTTGACGTTACTCGTGTTGGGGTCGTCTGTGGTGGCCTGAGTGCTCTTCCAGAGAAAACGGGCTCCCAAGCTCCGTTTTCGGCTACGATGGCCTCCTGCAACCCTCTGCCAGGGAAACCAGAGCTCCGTTTTTGCCTGGGACGGCCTGCAACCCTCTGTCAATGAAAACGATTTTTGCTGGCAGAGGCACCCCAGGCTGGTCCTTTGCTGTTTCCAAGGCGGCCCCGTGAGCCAGATCTAAGCACCCTGGGAGCTGGATCCAACCCACGGGCCTTGAGTTTGACATCCCTGCTCTACATGGAAGTGCTAAAGAAATGAAGCTTGGATCTTTCATATGTAGAGTGAACACTTTGTGATTGATCAACTAAATGGATCCTTCCTGATCTATTGTAATAGTGCTGTAATAGCGAACCTGTGGCACGCGTGGCACACAGAGCCATTTGTGCCGGCACGCGAGCCCCAGGCAAACTTACCTCACTGTATGTGCGCGCACCTCACAGCTAATTTTTGGCTGGTTTGAGACCTTTTTTTGGCCTCCCAGAGGTTTGAGGAAGGCTTCTGCAGGCCGAAAACTAGGCCCGTTTCATCACTTCCTGTTTTTCCGGAAATACCAGAAGTGACGAAACAGGCCTAGTTTTCGGCCTGCAAAGCCTACAGAAGCCTCCCTCAAGCCTCTGGGAAGCCAAAAAAGGCTGAAAATCAGCTGTGAGGCGCAATGCAAGTAAGGGGGCAGCGGGTGGGATTGCATGTGCAGGGGGCTGGGGGGGCCCTCACACATTGCCTTCTGGGTGCTGGCACAGGAGCCCCAAAATAATGGTTCCACAAAATTTTGGGGTGGGGGAGGGGGGAAATTCTGCACTTTTACAGAAATGGTATCTCCAGGTAAATGATCTCAGGTGATTGGGCTGCAGAGCACATCTGCTAGTTGAATGTAAACGGTATTTCCATCCAATGTGATGCAGTTTTATTTAGATTCTCCCAAATAGGGAATGGTTTGACCATTTGTCATACTGCCTTGGCCTAATGGAAATTGGCCTCAGCAACGTCTGCAAGGCCACAGAAGTCTTATTTTGATTTAAAGGGACTCTCTAGACGCCAACTGGCGCTCATTTGTTATACCAAAGACTGCACATTGTCACCAAGGCATCTCTAATTTTTGCCCTGTTTTTTGGAACTTTTCAAAATGTAAAGGCTGTAAAATATTTTTTTTAAAACAACAAAGTGCTTTCCCTCTGTTTATTTGTATATAAATGCAATCTTCATTCATGTAGGTTTTGAGAATATTTTTAACAAACACAGGAAGCCACATTTTACTGCACAGCGTAGAAAGCAAGAGAGACAGCCCTTGTCCCTTTTAATATCTGTCAAATGTATTGATTTCTTTGTGCGCATAAATAAATCTGTTCTACAACATCTTGCATTTCATTGGGTTGTTTTTTTTCCAATGTTGTCATTGAAGGCAGCCCTGGCTCCTGGCACATTGATGTCTCTTCCAGAAGTGCTGACGGTCAGTGGGAACTTTCCTGCAAATCAATGCAAATGAAGAGCTGTGGAAACCCAGGGCTGAAAAATGGGTAAACAGCCTTTCCCCAAATGTCAGGCGTTCGGTCAAGCTTCCTATGCGCTTTCATGATCAAAGAGGAAAGACAAGGTGTGGTTAGTCCTCGATTTACGATGGTAATTGTGCCCAGAATTGTGGTTGTAAATTTTGCTGGTCATCACATGACCCTGACTGATTTTACAACCTTCTTTGGAAGTCTTCGTTAAACAAATCCATTGCCTGCAAAGGGTGTTTTTTGGGGGACAGAAAACAAAAATAAACATTGATTTCTGACACACACACCCCAAAAAATATCATAAATTGGAGTCACAGACATGAAGCGAGCTGGCTGCTGAGTGCACAGAATGCAATCACATGAGCATTGGAACAGCGGCCATCAGAAATTCGAATCCAGGTGGCAGTTAGCCCAGGGGAGGTCCATCGTAACTTTTAACAACCGCTACACCACCAGTCGTAAGTTGAAGACTACCTATCTGTTGCCTTATACCAGTTCAGTAACACACTGGCGCAGTGGTGTCCAGGAGAGGTGGATATCAAAATCTTCAAGATGAAAAGTGAAGCATTGTGATCCAAGGTCCACCCCTTTGTGTGTGTTTGTGTGTTTGTGAGTATGTGTGCATTCAGGACACTGCACCTGACCCCTTGCAGATTTTGAATCTTCCTCGTAGACACAAATGCATTCCCTAGATGAGAAGTGCAGAAGATACCCATATTGTGATGACCCAGGGTGTGGCACACAGGCAACACAGACAGATAATCAAGAAGAGTCCCTTTATTAGCTCCAACCTTTCCCCCACTGTCCAGGTTACCTTCTGGCCGGAGAAGAACTCTCCCAGGAACAGCCTTTGACTGCAGAGAATCAAATCCAAACAGGGTAAACACAAACTGTAACTTAAAGTCCAAACAAGCCAAACTGAAGTAATTCGTTTGGCAGGGCAGGAGCAAGAATTTCAGGCTTGAAGGCAAAACTCACACAGTTGGGAAGACACCAGGAACACAGATAAGCCGCAACAATACAAGATAAAGTCACAGT